AATGTAGACTTTTCACTATGGATACGCTACTTTCTGGTGTACAAGACAAAAGGGTTAATAGAAGACAAGATGCTTTTACATGCTGCCCCAAGTGTTTTTTTACCTTATCATTAATGGTAGGACGAAGCTGTATAAATATGAAGCGGAAAGCAACAACAGGCAGGATACAGAGAAGGAACGTCAGGAATATGGTGAGCCACACATTAGGCTGGTTCAGAGAGTTTCTTGTTGTGCCTGAAATCCAATAATGTCAGAATCACATAATGTTACAGTATTACAGTATATAAGAAAGTAACTTCACAAACTGCAAAAATGGATGATGAAATTTAAATACACAATCCCAGGATACAGCCAGCACAAATCTAACCTTTTTTGTCTAAATGCTAGTTCGCATAACCCTGTTTTAATGTACTCATGTCTCCTTTAAAGTACCAATATTTTAGAATAGAAAAAAACTTGATAACTTCATTAAATTAACATTAAAGTGGCAAACATACTAAATATAGTAAATGTACTTACCAATGAAGGGGAAAGAAGACGTGAACATATAAAACATGCCATTGCTGCACATGGTTAATGTGATGGAAAAGTAGGCCACCATGCTTCCCCACACAAAAAAATGGTTCACTGCTGTCCAGTAATAGGTGTCAAGACACAGCTGAAAAGTATTTACTTTTATCATTATTAATGTCCTGTGTACTTATTTCTTTACATAAACTCAAATTTAGAGACTGACATAGAATGGAAATGTTTCTGTTACAGCAGATTAGTCTGTAGACTAAGTAGCCTCTTTGTTAGGTACCCTCGGTTCAACTGTTTATTAACCAGCCAATCAAATGGCAGGAACTCAATGCTTTTGAACATGTACACGTGGTCAATACTACCTGCTGGAGTTTAGACTAAGCATCAGGGAGGTAAAAAAGCTAATTAAGTTACTTTGAATGTGGTGTGGTTTTGCGTGCTAGATTGGGTATTTCAGAAATTGCTGATCTACTGGCATTTTCCCACACAATTATCTCTAGGGTTTACAAGGAATAGTTCTATAAGAGAAACCATCCAGTGAGCAGCAGTTCTCTGGGCAAAGATTGTTGATGCCAGAGGAGAATTGACAAAATGCTTCAAGATGATAGGAAAGCAACATGGCAACCATGGCATACAGAAGAACAAAAGCATTGCCTGGTATCATAAATCTCAGTAACATTTAGATGGTAGGGTCAGAATCAACATTTGTATCAATACTTCAGGCTTTTTTTTGAAAATTTGCCATAATGAAAATGAGCAGTTCTGCAGGCAAAAAAGGCCCAAAGTGATAATAACCGCGTGCACCTAATAAAGTATCTAATGAGTGCACATGGATTTATGGTATAGAAATGCATAAATAAAACCGTTAAATGCAATTTTTTCTCAAAGGAGTGCAGTTCACTGAAAAAAAACTGGAGGACAAATAATGTGGCAAAGTTTTGTGATTCTCTATGTTTTCACAATAAATATGTCATTTCCAAGCATGCCTCTGGTAACGAGAGCTGTATTTCTCACCTGTGTGTACACCACGATGAGCAGACAAGTCTGTGCCAATAAAGCAAAAGACTGATAGTCAGCAATCTCTTTTCCATCATCTCTGACTGTGTCATGCATGGAAGCCCATGGAATAAAAAAGAGGATTAAGGAACTGTAGCAGCTGTGCATTACACAGCTCACAAAAGCTTTCTTATTGAAGTATTGGTTCTTCTGGCCTGGAGTGTAGAGCTGAGGATGGTATAAACTCCAACGGTCATTTACATCCTGCACAAAACAAGTTTTAGTGAAAGAGATGAGAAAGCTCAGTGGACACAGAGACCTGAGTATGAGATCTGGTTTATGTAAGTCAACCAAAAACTGATAGTTAATTGTAATCTACATACCTGGTCAAACAGACACATGCCAAGGACTGGAAGAGCTGTGTAAACCATATTGTAGAAGGTGATGAACCAGTCCTCATAAACAGTCTGTGAACAACCACAATGAACATTTAAGTACAACATAAAGAAAAGGTGAATGTGAATCAAGTTATTTGTTTCATTTGTCCTGCATCATTTGAAACTTTTTTGCATTTCTCTCATTGAGATTGATAAACACTTTATGTCCCATTACAAAAGCTACTTAAATTACATTATAGTATAGTTACAATACATATATCTCACCTGTGCAGAAAAACCACAAAAGAAGGCGTACCAGAATTGGACAAGCGTAAAAGTGAAGTTCTTGTAAAAGAAATATCCAAGGAACTTGCACATGCGGATGTAGGACCAGCGGCCATGCACCAGCAGGAGGCGCTGAAGGTAACGGAACTGGGCAAAGGAATAGTCGCTGGACAGCACTGCCTGCATGCCTTCCTGCCCACTGATACCTACACCAATA